CATTCCTTCAATTATGTCTATCTCGGAAAAAATTGGTGGAATATTGTCATGCTAGACAATCTCCCTATTGACACCGTCTGGTGTCAATTTCATGTAACAGGCTGCCCCGTTACACTAATGCTCCGTGCGTGCTGCTGAGCGTTCAAGTCGAAATATAAACACAATCAATCGCTATGTATGTGCCTTTGGACGCCAATCACGTGTTGTAATGCTTTGGAACGACTGCTCCAAGCCAATGTATTCAAAGAATGACGCGTTTTAGGCAGGTACCGACTCAAGAGTCATGAGCGGCCCAAAGTCGATAAGCTTATCCGGAGAATTAACAACGGGAAGCTATTGCAGCAACAGCGACAGTGACAGCAGTCATCAGTCGAGTGGAGGTGGTGGTACGCGATGTGTGCAAGGCAATCAAACTGGTATGGATGAAAAGCTAAGCGTGGACCTGTCCAGTGTTCGAGGATCATTGCAATCATCCTCGTGTGAATCCGAGGCTTCCTCGAATGAGGCAGAAGTTCTTTTCCCGTTCGTCTGCCAAAGTCCTTTCGTGAACGAGTTTGAAGAGCTGTCAGCAATTGGCAAAGGTGGCTTCGGTCAAGTTACACTCGCCGAGAATCGCTTGGATGGACGAAGGTATGCGATCAAACGGGTTGGTCTTAACTTGAAGAACCAGACGTCGAAGACTTTGCAGAAGTTTTTTGCGTGAGGTGAAAATCCTAGCGCTGCTGGACCACGCTAACATCGTTCGGTACTATCAGGCATAACTGGAAATGTTGGGGAGAGCACAAATGGAACGTCAGTAGCATCGTCGGTTGCCTCAGACACGAGCTCAGTTGGTGGACTCGCTGCCGCGGCAAATTACTCAACAATAATCTTCTCGCACCGATCTCAGAGCTTGATTTTCCAGGAGACCGACGCGACCTCGAGAGCTTCTACAGCAATGGAAGCGTGATCAGTGACAATGCCGATGATGGTGGGTTTGTCTGGGAACGTGAGACGTCTAGTACGGAAGGTGAGGATGGCTGGAAGGAAGAAGATCTGGTCGTGCAAAACAAGCCACGCATGAGCCACCTGCCTCCCCGTGTGTCTTCGTCTTGCGCACCGGCTGCTCATGGTAGCGACGAGGACTCTTCATGTAACGCAGCAGAAAAATGTGATCACTGGCTGTACATTCAGATGCAGTACTGTGCTGGCCGCAACTTGGCGGACTATCTGGCTGTTCCGACTCGGCCAATGGAACTGTCGAGAATGCTCAAGATTTTTGTGCAGATTGCAAGTGCACTGATGCACGTACATTCTTGTGGACTGATTCATCGTGATTTGAAGCCAGCAAATATTTTCGTTGCTGACGTAGAGAGAGACGAGATTAAGTTGGGGGATTTTGGCTTATCGCGCTACGCTGCGAATGCAAGCAGCCTGAATGCCTCGACAAGTCTTGATGATCCCCAACAAGGATGTCTTTCCAATGGTGTGCGGGACACTCCTCTATCTGTGTCGGTGTGGTCGAACATGTCGGAGAGTACTGAGGTGACTGCGGGTGTTGGCACGTATCTTTATGCAAGCCCGGAACAAGTCGCAGGGAAGAAGTACAACGCCAAGACGGACATGTACTCGCTGGGAATGATCCTTTTTGAGCTGTGCCACGACCGCTTTGGCACGACAATGGAGCGATACATTACTCTCCGTGATGCCCGAGACAGTAAGTTCCCTGCTGATCTCCGCGCGACAAAGAGATGTCCTGAAATCTTAGACATGCTCAGCAAGTTATTAAGCCACGACCCGACGGCACGGCCAACAGCTAATGAAGTTGTGCAGTGGGGACAGATGATGTATGAAACGAGCCTTGCTCAGAAAGCTATGGATGTTGTGCGGTCGCCGCGCAACCTAGGCATGATTCGAGCTGCAGCTGGTGCAAGCTTTTTTGTGCCGGGTATTGATCACTTCATGGTTGGCATCGGCGAAACAGTGGTTACGACCACGTTTTGTCTGAAGGTGGAGGCTGCAATGGAACATTGCAGTGGTGAAGACGGTGGCGAGCGTCGTTTGCCAAACCATAATTTATTGAAGCAAATATGCGATGTGATTGCCGGAGTTCACGATGGGAAGGTTGAGATCAAGAAGTGTGGATTGCATATGGAGAATGAGGGCGTGACGATTCTCGCGTTTGAGTTGGACCCACAGAGTGCTCTTGCCGTTGCGCCTGGCAGTGACGTGGAAGGCTCCGTGGTTTTGGCGATCGAAGCCCTCGCTGGAGTACAAACGGTGCATCGTGTGAGCAAGATTGATTGAAACTTGGTGCCAGTGTCAAGAAAGAAAACAAACCAAGAGGTTCGGTTTCAATTCGAGTACAATGAAGACCCGTCGTGCTTGAAGCGGGCGTGAACCAAGTTCGCCTTGTCGATCAAGTAAAGCAACGAGGACATGGGTACCAGCTGGTCAAGTAATGGTATGTCTTGCAGGGTTGCTGGATTATACTTGTCGCAGGAAGATGAACAAGCACGACACGAACATAGCTCTGTATGTGTTCAGAGCATCAAATCAAGCGTCTGTCTACCTTGCCTGCTGTCAGGTCTCCATGCCATAACAAATGCACTCCATCGCACAACGTCGTGCACTGGAAAACAGTGCCATCAGTTGTCGAGTACGAAGAGCAGTACGTTCAACGTTGGTGCCGATTCGACCAGTACTCTAAATCCGCCCGTTGGTGGAGGAAGACACGCCTGCATCCGAGTGTAGCAGTAACGAATCCAACGAGAAGCGGTGTTGGAATTTATCCACACTTGAAGAAAAGCACAGGACACGTTATGGTTCGACCTTGTTCTTTACCCAACGCGTCGTTGACAAGTGTGAGCGTCATGGCTTCGAGCCTGAATCAAAGGGTTAACGTGGTTGTATTTCACCTTTTCTGACTTGTCTTGGTAGATCAAGGCCAGCAAAGTGATTCTAGGCTTGTCGCAAGCTCACCAACACCTCTACCACCTTGCTCCATCCAGTACCCGATTGCTGTCGCTAACCCTTCCTTCATCAAAGCCGATCCGAAAGCGCACTGTCTTGCTCCACCTAACGTCGAATGGAAGGTCCCACGGTCTTTTGGCGTTTCGGGTCTTCCTTTGGTAACGCTAGTGCAGCCTCGTAAGTCGGAAAAGCGCCTTCCTTCCTCTTTGATTTGTTCGCGCTCGGGTTGCTGGACGACTTTGACTCTACCAGAGCCTTGTTAACAACTTTAGTCGGGTCTTCTTTCAGCGCCGTCTCCAACGCTGTCGCAACATTAGTCCATTGAATGTTGAGCTTTTCCCCTGATTGCGCTTGTGCAACCTCGCGTGCTTTACTTGGCAGACGCTGAATCATGGATTCACTTATTTGCGCAGCGCGCATGCGTTTAATCATTGTAGCAGAGGTCGTGCCTCTGAGTTTTTTATAGTTTGCGTAATACATCAGCATTTCGTCCGCGATGGTAGACTCCTCCCCCGCTTGCGCTATCGTCCGTAGATAAATAAAGTCGCCGTCGCTCTTGAGCTTTTTGAGTAAGTGCAAATATACATTCTGTCCTCGGCCAGGTTGACTGCCGAGGGACACAAATTTGTATCGCTCAAGCAGTCGCAACTTGTTGTCCGTCATCTCTTTTTCTTTCGTCAGCTTGGGGAGCTCCAGAAGGTCGATAGAACGGTCGAACGTGATGCCGCGGTTCTTCCAGGCTTCTAACATCGCCGCCTCCAAGGCAGTGAATATCTTCCCGTCGATCAGAGCAGCCACCTTAGCTTTTAGCAAAGCAGACGCGAGTTTGGTTAAGCCATCAGCTTTGGCACAATACATACCTACCAGCTCGTGCATCAGCTGTTTTGCTGTCCAATTCTGTGTTTTCTTCCCCTTCTTCAGGGAGTTCCACTGGTCTGCGCTCAAAAGGTTCTTATCTGTTTTCTGTTGCAGTTGCTCGATGACACTCGTACGTTTGTCTTTAGGTTGAGGAGCCATAGCACGCGCATGCTCGATGGCCCTCTTCCTTTTTGCTTCCGATTGAGTTGCCTTAGCAATCGCTTCCTCATTGATCCTCGTACTGTCTGCTTCCAATCGAGAAGCCACACCAGGCGCATGCTCGTTGACTTTCGTACTGTCTGCTTCCGATTGAGAAGCCACGACAGGTGCCTGCTCTTTTTCCGCGAGTGAAGGCAGATCAAGCACCGGTGTCGCCACGGTTCCGCTCGACTCGAGACGTTCTGGTGCATAATGTGCGTGTCTGAGTTGATCCCAATCTTCAGCAGCAAGCGTGGGGATAATTTGGTCGTGTACCTGATCTTCCGCTTGTCCAAGTACGAATCGATCCCAACCTTGAGCATCAAAGTCGGGGATTTCATGGTCGTATGTCCGCTTTTGCGCCCGTTCAACCACCGCAAGGAGACTGTGCACATCCTGAGTCCCTGTCCTGTCTTCGCCATTTGCTTCGTCGTCGCTTTGTGACATGCCGTCGTCGCTGGCGTCGCCCACCCGGTCTTTGGGACGATCACTGGAATGGAGATCCGGCCGCAGCGTCTTCGAACCTGAGGCAGAGTATCTTGAGAGACTTTCGATGAACGCGACCGCGGCAAGGAGCTCCGTGGTGTAGATGCGCATGTTGAAACGGGGTCGGGTGGCTGCTTGTGAGGCTGGCGGGCGAGTTTTGTAGTGACCGGTCGTGCCAGTAGTAGAGACTTTGGTCAGAAGCTGATCCCTTTTCTGAGCCACGATCATCCCACTCTTTGATCTGCGTCTCTTTTACCTGCGGCTTCCTCTTTACTTTACTTCAGTAGTGACTCAAGCCGGTTTGTCTCATAGTGGCGGTGACCAGTATGGGCGACTTGCAGCTGAGCCTAATCACGCGTGCCAAGGGCCGGCAGAAAGTGCATTGTTGTGGGCTTTTGATCGAGCAAGTCTCGCTTTCTATATAAAACGTATCTTCTACCTTGGCATTGGAACCGCTGGAGTGGACAAAGCTGTTGTCAAAGCATCAGCGACAGCACTGTTCAACTCAGAGCCGTCCTCGTAAGTGTGCATGAAGTCAGCGACGACACTAATTACTACTTCACAGCGTACCACTCCCAATTTGCGCCTTCGGGTAACAACTCCCAAGCGACAAATACCTTCAAAGAGCCGGGCGATCAGGTCCCCCGTGAGTAATCGTACGAAAACATGGACGTTCGTCCAAGAAACTGACAGTTAGACTATCCATTAGCCTTAGTTAATATATGCCAACAAGGGTAAGCAAAAAAACCACTTTAGAAGAGACGTCACTCGAAACGTTTCTTAGATTAGTAGGACCCATCGCTTTTCAAACGGGCCGCGGTCTTCAGTTGCGAGACGACGGCTCCTGCCCAGCGGCGCGGGTGGGGAGCCAACCCGCGACGGCGAAATCTGTAGCGGTGGCAGCTGAAGCGGTGGAAGTCGCAGTGGAGATAATGAATGCTTAAATGTAGTCAGATGAGCCGCTGTAATCCATTTCTCTTGCCCATTGACGACCAATGGTGGATGTTTCTACGGCACAAAAGAAGATAGAGTCATTCATGTCCGTCTATTGATCAATGATTTACTGAATGATACGACGCGATACTGTGTCGATTGAACGACGTGCCGTAATAAATCACCGGATGAGCCGCAAACTCAGTGAGTCAGTTACATGCTTGGTCGCCAAATTAGTCCTTCATCCATATCATAAAGCGCAGATCAGGTTCTTCATCCACATAACCGCCCGCGCGATCCTTGTCCAGTCTGAAGCACATGCCGACGAGAGGATGCAAAAAACAAGGACAGACAGCTTTGGAACTCGAACACCTAGACCTTGTCTACCTTCTACACAAAAGGAGAGCGCACAAGACGCGTTCACGCACGCTTGAACTGCCGCAATCAAGAGATCGTATCACGGGGGTTGCCTGCGAGGACGGGGAGGTAAGGGCATAGAGTGGCCTGAGCAAGCTACCCAAAAATTGGGGATGCAGTCCATTTGAAAAGCAGAGGGTTCTGCCTATCTTAGAATCGTTTCTATTGAAGTTCATTCCAAAGTGGCCTTATTCTTACCCTTGTTGGCAAGTATTAAATAAGGCTAATGGATAGTCTAACCGTACCACAGATTGTTCAGGCGACCACCTTGTTGTATGTGATTTCTCCCTATCTGGGGCCCCGATAAAAGGGGCGAGGCCGTCTTGCCGCTGCGTGCGCTATAGAAGGCAGCGCAGCGAGTAAACCGAAAAGGGAACGAGATGAAGGGAACGGTAACAGCGATTGTCACCCCCCCTTCACCTGCACCTACTATTTTGCTTCAGCCTTCGAGTTGTTGGCCCGGACGCCGAGCTTGACTCTTGAGTTTAACGAAGCGAACTTGCCGAGAACGTGGTCAAGATCGGTCCAGTCCAGGTACGTCCGCGGCCCATCGGGGGTGAAAAATCGGGCTGGTCCCCGGCGTTTCCTGCGACTTCAGCGCCCTGTCTGCACCCCGGGCTGGATATCCGATTCCACGTGCCCTCTGCGAAGTGTCCCCCGTGATGACCGAAGGCCAAGCCAAGCAGACTAAGCCAGCAAGGAGAAGATGATGTAGTTTAGGCAGCAGCACACCGATATCGTTAGGCCATGAGCACTTAATCGACATTCAGGATTTACCAAGTAGCGTCATGGATAGATAGGTGGCCATCCGATGCAGAGTGATGCTGCCTCCGATTACATGGTGATAGCAAGATTTGGCTGCGTCGGTTGTCCCCATTCGTACGAGTACATACTTTCTGTGAGCAGAAAGCTTCTCAGGTCGCACGCAAAAAGGTGCAACTGCAAAGCACGAGCTACACATTCAGCATTCGTGCATGTAGGGACAAATGTCCATGACGGGAAACGTTGACTTGTGTTGTTGTGTATGCGCAAGTTCATGACAATGGCAGTATTATGCTCGGTGGGGTGTCATGCTGCAGCAGCTATGGCAGGCGACGTCCTAGATAGAGTGACATTCAAATGCAACCGAAAGGTGGATCGTGTTCATCGTCCTGCCTGCTCCAGTACTGTGTCAAGAAGCTACCAAGCACATGGCGTAGCACATCAAGATTTGCGTGTGTGACCTCTCCGCTACTTCTTTCTTCCGGCACAAACAGATGTACCACACATTCCGCCATGAATGACTACAGTAGCTATGGCTCGTCCAACGATGACGATGTGCTGAAGTGAACCAACATGCGATTTGCATGACAGACCAAGGGTTGGTGACGGCTGATGAGCACCAGCAGTTTCCAGAGATTGTAAAAGCTGTAGAAATGAGAGTCATTTCACTCGCATTTCCCACTCGCAAACCATCCTTCGTCTTCGCTCGATCGATGTGCCTGCGTTGTGCAAGAACAGCACGTAGTAGTGCATTAGCAGTAGTCTGTCTCTTCAGCAAATCCGTCGTTGCAACTACATGATCACGCACCCATTTACACTCTATTCTGATCAAGCAAGCTTGAATGGACTGTTTAGCACTCTTGTGTTGGCCTTGACCGACACACACGTGACGATGATCTCCCTCAAAAGGAGCAAATTTCATGGATGAAAACGTGCTTGTACCTTCTTCGGCGCCTCGCTGACGATATGTGTACACCATAGTACACCATCGTCCGCACGTGGCGGCACACGAAGATAGAGGCACGGGCTTCGTAATGAGACCTTTGACCGATCGGCGATTGAAGCTCTGTCGAAAAGCTGGATGCATTTACAAAGCTGTTCAACAACCGACGTACTCGGTAACGATTTGATCGGCATAGATACAACCGCACGCATCTTTTGCGTACCACGATCAGTCAGTGATGATGCGAAGACCTTTGAGAGCTCGTGATACGGTTCTAGTGACTGGTATCGTGACCATCGCGATTGATCTTGTGATTTTCGTTTCGCCTCATCTCAACAAAACAAATGTATGTGCAACCACGAGGATCTTGTCAGTAAAGCGACTGTCCAAATGACATGACTGTCATGTATGTATCACGATCTTCGGATTTACACATGTTTGTTGTGCAAACTCCAGGTGACAGCGCGGCATTTTACAAGTCCCCCAGTATTGGGGCGCGGAGGGAAGCTGTAACGGGGTAGCCTGTTACATAAAATTGACACTAAACGGTGTCAATTTGAATATTGTCTAGCATGACAATTCCCTACATTATCCGAGATGGATAGTATTGTAGGAATATTATCCCCTTTTGATAATTTTCATGCGCTGCTCCAAGATTGGTTGATATAAGACATATTAAACAAGATTACCACCAATTGCTGCTAGGCGCGCGATGAGTGGTGAGCAGGTTGTCGTCACACGACGGCGTAGTTTAACATAGTTAGATAAAGATTGAAGTTATATTGATAGCTTAACTGCATTAAATACGGTTCTATTTTTGCCTTTACTTGAACGAGTCGTTCAGGTAGATTCGCTTCCTCTGCACGTACTGGTGTACGTAAAGTTTCGTGGCACCCAGACAAAGGGTGCCCCGTTACACCTAGTAGCACTTTGTAGTCCGTCCAACGGCTACTTAGTTTCCGTCTAATGTGAACATGTTGAACGTTGAAAAGGACAGCTTTCACGTCACACGTGAAGGCTACTCCCATCTGAGTGACTCAGAATGGAAGGTAGTCGGCCGCATGAGTGTGCTCATGGGCGAACTCGCGATCAGTGGTATGTTGGAGTCTCGAAGCAGAGACCAGCAACATGCTGCTATCAACAAGTTCCTACAAGGGGAACCTGCCTTCGAAAGACAAGAGATAGCCTTGCTACAGCAGCAAGGCTCTAATCAGTCGATGGGTGGGCCGACGCACATGCGTCGACCCGAGACCTTGAAGATTGATATCTTAAGGTATAAGGGAACCGATAAAGATTCCCTTTTGAGATGGTTCGTCGAGTTAGACGATGCCATCAGGGCCCGTCACATCGAGGGTGACGAGATGCAAGTCACCTTCGCCCTATCAAATTTGACATGACGAGCAAAGACTTGCACCTTAGGGCTCAAGCTTCACGACCCAAACTTGTTTGAGTCGTTGGAGATCTTGAAGTCTCGACTCAAAGAGACGTTTAAGCCATCAAGAGCCGAGTTCAGAGCACGCTCTGCACTCTTGAGGCTAAAGCAAGGTAAGCGTGACGTGCACGCTTACGCACAGCACCTGCGCTACCTTGCAAGTAGCGTTACGGAGACCCTGTTGATGAGCACACGCTCATCAACGTGTTCATCGACGGCCTTGTCGATGGGCCGGTGAAGACCTACATGTTCCGAGAGGACTTCCATACGCTGAAAAAGGTGATAGCGTATGCGAAACAAGAAGACTTCAGCCTGAGACAGCCTCAGGCTAAATCGTCAAACTATCGTCCGACGAGACGACAGGAAACAGGATGTCCCGAACCAATGGACCTCTGTTCTATCGAGAGCGAGAACTCTCGCTCTCTGAGACACAAGCGAACGGCAAGATGCCATCTCTGTCAGAAGATTGGACACTACGCTCATGAGTGTAGTGTCCCGAGCACCGCATCTCGTCCAAAGACAGGACGTGATGAGCACCGTTAACCAAGGAATTGTCCAAGGCGGGTCCGACCATGTCGCTTAATTGCAATAGCAAGTCGGACCGCCAAAATTGGTCAGGGTCAGTAAGGGCGGAGCACCCTGCTGGTCCAGCAACGTCAAGAGAATTTGCAGGACTGTTGACGAAGATTTCTCCCAACACAAAGTCGCTGTGTGTTACTGCCCTTAGTGATGAGGAGTCTCTTATCACTTTGAAGATCGAAGTGACAAGTGGAATGTCACTTTGCGCCCTAGTTGTCTGTGGGGCGTCGAACAGCTTTATTCGACGTCAGTCGCTAGGGGATAGTTGGCTCAGCTATGCCGAGAGAGATATCCCTCCAACGAGGCTGACGGTGTGCCTTGCAGCACACTCATCCGTAACAGTGAACAAGCGTGTAGTGGGAATCCACTACACGCTAGAAGGAAAGCAGTTCGATGATGACTTTATAGTACTGGATTTAGATGGCAAATTTGATGTCATCCTCGGTCTGCCATGGCTTAGAAGATACGAGCCAAGGGTTAGCTGGTAGCATCGATCCGTGAAGATGCCTGCCGTTTGTTCATTGGAAGGCCATCTGATGAACGTTACAGAGCGTCCACAAACGTGAGAATGTACTACGAGTGAGTGCGATACCCTCACTTGTGGTACGGTCGTTAGTACGATTGCATAAGATCACAGTGTAGAAATCCAATACACTGTGAAACAGCTTCCGGCACCTGTGTAGAGACACAGGCTGTGCTGAAGGTTCACTACTCGAAAAGATCGAGTGGTTCGAACCATGGATGCACGCCAAGAAGTGTGCATCCAAGAAGATAGATGAGTGTTGTTCAGGATGAACAACACGTTGAAACGAGATCAACTATCAGAGAGTCGATCGTAGAGCAAGCCCGATCGACTGATAGAGAGTCGATCGAAGAGGCCGTGACTGTGGTAGTACATCCGCAGCCAGTACACGTATTGCAAGAAAGTTTTAGCGTTCCTGAGAGTGATAACTTCGGAGAGAGCTATGTTAAGGATATGTTTCCCCAACCACCGGCTGATGTGCTTTTCCAGGAATTAACGAGACAGAAAATGTCTTAGTGAATGACGGATCCAGCGTGGTCGATTATACACTTGATCTGATTGCATCTCCGAATTCAGCTTCGGAGGTGATAAAGTTGCCAACGCTAAAACTTAAAAGAATCTTGCGAGATCTGCGCAGTCACAAGATCAAGCAGATCTGCGTACTCATCACACAAAACGAGTGCATTGCCGATATTCGGTCGGAACAAGTGTTTGCTGAGAACGAACGGGTTCTCAGTAGCTCATCGATGGACGAGAGTGCCCTCGATGAGAAGATCTGGATTGAACGGTACAATTCTCAATCTTCGGAGTCTTTGGAGACTAATCCTTTGTTTCATGATTTGATTGAACTAGGGATGTTTTCCCGGAATCCGTGCCATGCGAGCTGCCCAAGGACAAAGGCACTCGACATGATATCGAACTAAAACCTGGTTCGAAATTCTGTGTCATGAATCGTTGGCCACTGCCTCGTGAACAGGTAACAGCAATCGACAAATTCTTCGCTGATCGTTTAGCAGCTGGTCATGTGAGGGAATCAACATCCCCACACAGCTCTCTGAACTTCTATGTGCGAAAGGCCACAGGAGGGTGGCGGATAGTGCACGCGGTTAACAAATTGAACGCTGCACCGGTACCAGCTCAAACGCCGATACCGAGGAAGGATGTCATCATAGATGGAATGGCAAAAGTACCATCTTTTCGTCCATGGATCTGATGGATGTATTCTATCAGATCCTCATGCGTGGACGGGATATCCCGCACACAGCAGTGAGCACCCCCAGTGGTGTGCTCTGGGAGTGGCTAGTGATGCCACCGGTATTAAGTACCCCTGCAACGTTCAACAGATGTGTTACGAATCTGTTGCGATCGGTGCGAGACTTGCGAGTTAATTCGGCGATGTCTTCGTCCATAGCTGGTAAATGGATGGATAGACGGAAGTGAAGGTTCATAGAATCCACGTCCGGAAGGTTTCTTACATTAATGCGAGAGCTTAAGTTGTTTGCAAACCTCAAGAAGTGTATATTCGCAGCGAGCGAAAACCACCTCTTGGCTGTATCGTGGGTAAAACCAGCGTACGCCCTGATCCAGAAAAGATCACGGAAAATAGCGAATGGGCTGTGCCAGTCGACGTCAAGGGACTTCGAAAGCTCCTTGGCTTGGCGGCGTACTTGCAAGGATACTCGCGCAACTACGCCGAGGTGACCGTACATCTCTCTCGGCTACTAAAGAAAAACGAGAGGTGGTCATGGAGCGCTGAATTTCAGCACTCTTATAAAGGCATCTAGAAATTCTTGGTGCAATCGCCTGTGTTGGCGATTGCAGACCAGTACAGACCGTTCCACGTGGAATGTGACACCAGTGACTTTGCAGTCGGCTGCGCGTTAATGCAGTACGATTCAGACGGCGTTGAGCGCGTCGTCTGCTACCCATCGCGCCAGATGCAAGCAGCTAAGCAAAATTATCCGGTGCATTACAAGGAAATCCTTGCCATGAAATATGCACTGGCCAATTTTCGGGTATGTCCCCTTAAAGATGGGCCCTCCATCATTTATATCGACCATGCGTCATTACGCACGGCCGTAAACAGTCCACACCTCTTGCAACGAATGGCGAGGTGTCTGTCTTTCTTCGCGAATTGCAACTTCTCCGTCGAGTAAAATTAGGACGACTTGATGTCGTCGCTGACGCTCTTTCGCGTCGGCCCGATTTCGAGCCGACTGCTCGACACAACAGTAGGGGTGATCACACTGTAGCAACACTAATTGAGTGTTCCGTCGTCAAGTCTGCTCGAAGACGTTCGGAAAGCACCCACAGAAGATGAGTCTCTTCTGCGGTTGATGGATTACGTATCCAATCCGTTCAGTCAAGCTTTGAAAAGTTTGTCGTCTCAATACCGCTCTTCAACATCACAGTATTCTGTTCGTGATCGACAGCTGTACTATACAACAGTCAACGGCGACTCACCTCGTGTCGTCGTTCCCGCTCATAATGATTTGCGATTGCGCATCATGTATGAGTGTCACGATGCCCCGACAAGTGGGCATCGCGGTAGAGAAAAGACTCACCTCATGGTAAGTCATGACGGCTACTGGCCACGTCAGTATTAGTTTGTGCGCAAATACATTCGCGCTTGCGAAGTTTGCTAACGGGTGAAGCCTAGTCCTTCATCCCGTGCACCCTTGCAGCTTCTACCAATTCAGTAAAAGTGCTGGCAGTCCGTATCGATGGACTTCGTCGTCGGGTTTCCTATATACGCTCACAAGAATGCTGGTATTCTTGTGTTGTTAGTCGGTTTCGCAAGATGGTACATCTTGTTGCTGTACCAAAGTCAATCACAGCCCAGGGCTGTCCTCGTGTCTTCATTGATACTATCTTCCGACTTCACGAGTTACCCCGTGAACTCGTTTCCGATAGGGACCCCCGCTTTACGGCGGAGTTCTGGCAATCCGTGTTCCTTTAATCAGGAACACGTTCGAAGATGTCAACTTCTGACCATTTAGAAACAGATGGTCCGACGGAACGCGTTAACCGCGTCCTTGAAGAGATACTTCGAGGGTACGTCTACTCGTTTACGAGTTGGATTGATTTCTTGCCAATGGAGGAATTTGCCATCAACAGGCGATGCGAGCGTCGACAACGCATACACCGTTCTTTGTGAATGACCTACGCCATCCACGTTTACCCGCCTTCTCAGAGTGTGACTATAGTTTAAGGGGGGAATCTATCGAACAAAAATCGATCTGGTTCTTCCTCATCACACGTCGACAATGATGTCGACATTATGGATGAAGACGTCGATCACATCGATATCGATAATGATGATGACGACGATGATAATACATTCAGCATTGCCAAAGACGCTACAGTGAGGACGATGACCCCTCACTGGTGAAGACAACGTTCTTTCATCAGTGCACACGAAGCGCACTGCTGTTGACAAGGGTGAAACAACAGAGAAATTTCTGCTGACTCGCGAAGCGGTTGTCCGCTTCGTTCAAGACTCTATTGCAGATGCACTAGACAGACAGAAAAGAAACGCAGACAAACATGGAAGAGGGAATGTTATTTAACATAATGAAGAAGACTTAGTTTTTACTGTCTACAGTAAATCTACCAAAACACGCAGTGACAAACGTGGTCAGCAGCAAATTACTGCCCAGGTACATCGGTCCATTTCGTATGTTGCGCCGTATGGGCAGCGCATACACGATTGAACTGCCTCGTAGGATGCGTACGCATCCTACGTTTTGCGTTGGACGTCTCCTCCCGTGTTATCAGTACGAGCCCGCTTCAAGAGGCGAAGAACGCCTCCGCAGTCAAGGACCGAGTCCACCTTCGAGTGGTACCATTTCAATGAGCCAATCTGGTCGACCAGCGAAGTGACCTGCTAACGCAGTTGAGCGATGTTCTGACGAGCTGCAGTCATCTGGAACGAAGAGAACGAATCGAATGCTTGTTCTCAAGCTGCGCGAGCGCAAACATGGCACAATCGCTCGAAGATCGTGCGCTAAGGATTTGTAATTGTCCTTTACAAGGTCGTGAAGCTCGTAAGGCCGAGTCTGTTCATGAGCAAATTCTTCGTGTAACTGATCCGTTACACGGTTCAGTTTCTGATCATCAAGCTGATGCGACCCTCGAGCCGGATCAGGTGTTCCCACCCCCACCACATTCTTTAATGGATTCTAACGGTGTTCAACTCTTTCTGGTGGAGCGTATTTTGAACCGCCGCAACGTGAAAGGCGTCCGGACGAGTTACCTCATCCGCTGGCGCGGTTTCCACCGGCCTGGGATAGCTGAGAGCCTCGCGCCCAGCTGATTGTTGGTGTTCTGGGTCTCGTCGAGCAATATGACGAGACCCATCCGCTGCGTTAAAGAGGGGCCGTCGGAAAACGACCTCTCCGAACGCGATTACAGGGATTGCAAAGTATCAAATCTTTCGGCCACCTAAGAAGAGATGCGCACTTTCCAGTAGGTAACATTAGGGAGTCAGGCCTCACTAGGGGCACGGCTAGCACTGTTAAGGCATCCTGGATATGGATCGCTTCAAGAGAGACAGGATAATCCTGCCTCTCTTGGAAGCTGGTGCAACTTATGTCGCGCCCCAATTGCGTTGAGCTTTTTAAACCTGATGCGAGCTGCATCAAGTTCGGCGAGCCAGGCCTCACATCCAATGCACTCGATGTTATGGATGAGGGCGTTCCATCCTTGCACCACGAATTTGCCGTCTCGAACACGGCTGCCATTGTAGCACGGATGTTTGTAGATCACATTGGTGAAGAAGTCTTCCTCGGCACGGATATTCTCCGTCCTGGAATCAGGTGGGCAAATCTTCCTGCAATCGAATAGCGGGGTTCGATCCCGTTCTGTATTTATGCTGGCCAACCGGTTTTACTCTCTGAATTATGTTATTCACGGAGACTCCACTTGAGGAGCGTGGCGCGGGACATTTCGGTCCCTGACCTCTTGATTTGTATTAGTGTGAGCGCTGGTACCGGTGAATCCCCGATCCCTCGAGTTACTTCGCTCGTGGTGATGTATAGGTGCATCCCCACCATACCCACGCGTCCTATCGTTGAAAGGACTTGCGTGAGGCGGAGATTCGTCGGAGTAATCACTCGATCCGAAGATCTCGGTCATGATACCACCACGTTGACAAGAGCCAGTCAAGCTGGACAAGATCAGTGTCCGCCCCGGGTGATTCGGAGGCGTGAGGTGTCGCCTGCGAGTCGGATACACCAACTGACTCTCCAGAAGACATGAGCTCATTTTCATACTCATCTAGATTACGATTCGCGGTACCCGCTGCAGACTCAGCGGATGTACCTGTCGCACGTGGTGACTCACCACGAGGACTGTTGACAAGAACAGGTACCGAATCACCTGCTGCTGAGGCGTGAAAGGCACTTTCCGCGGCCGCACGCATGCGTGCGGCCGCCCTTAATGCTTTTGCAGTAGCAACTTGCGTGGTTTTTGAAACCATGCGTTGAATTGGCAAATGAATGGAATTTGATCAACAAGTGCTCCCCTTCCTAGAGTGAACCAACGGTGATCACCCTGTCCCAATCAATTCTTATTCAATTAACGGGTGGTTAATTGTTAAGGGGGTTTATGTAACATTCTAGACCGTTACATGATGTTGACACCAAACGGTGCCTATAGGGAGTTTATCTCGCATGACAGTCTCCTGCCAATCTTGTCCGAGATAGATAATATTGAAGGAATATTATCCTCTTTTGATAATATTCACGTGCTGCTCCAAGATTGCTTGATATAAGACAAATCAGTCATATATTTCCACCAATCGCTTCTAGGCGCGCGTAATACGTGGCGAGCAGGTTGTCGTCATACGACGACGTAGATTAATATAGTTCGATAAAGATTGTAGTTATATCGATAGCTTAAATTTATTGAAAACGGTTCTCTCTTAACCCTTTACTTGATTCAGCCTTTTGAATAAATTAGCTTCCTGTGCACGTACTCGTGTACGTAAAGTTTCGTGGCACCCAGACAAAGATGCTTTGTTACAAAGAAGCTCTGTTGAAAAGCTGGATGCATTTACAGAGATGTTTAACAACCGACGTACTCGGTAACAATTTCGATCGGTACAGATACAACCGCACGCATCGTTTGCGTACCACGATCAGTAAGTGATGATGTGAAGACCTTTGAGAGCTCGTGATACGGTTCTAGTGACTGGTATCGTGACCATCGCGATTGATCCTGTGATTTTCGTTTCGCCTCATCTCAACAAAACAAAAGCAAGTGCAACCGTGAGGGTGTTGTCAGTAAAGCGATTGTCAAAGTGACATGACTGTCACGTATGTATCACGATCTTCTATTTACACATGTTAGTTGCGCAAACACCAGGTGACAACGCGCGGCATTCTGCAAGCCCCCCAGTATTGAGACGCGGAGGGAAGCAAGATCAGACAAGATTCTATCGACTTTGAGATAAGCAGTAGATACACTAGCGAGCCCGAAGGATGAGCTGTACGCAAGGTGAATGCCGAGCCTTCAAAACCTACTTTCTGTTAGTCTGTCTTTGCGTATGTGCGTCTTTGCGACTGTGTGTCTGTCTGTCTATCTGTGTGTGTGGTGCTTGGATAACACGGGTGCATGTACACGTCGCACCACGTGCGATGCAGCATGTCCCTCCTCATTGGTAGATTTGCATTTTGATGTCACTCTTAAACTAGGTCACGAACCGCGTTCAGTGTTCGTCACATACATGTACCAATGACGCACATGATCGGATTAAAGAGACAAGTGCGGATGGACGGCGAACAAGCAAATATTCGACACTTCATGACAGCAAAAGTGTCGCACTTCAAACAGTACATGACAAGTGATTTTCATCCAAAGTTATCTATGAAATGATAAGATAAGAATGAATGTGAACCTTCTCCTCTCGTTGGAAGAAGAATCTTCGTCCACTAGATTTCAGTTACAGATGTGTCAAATACATATCATCGATCGCGTTTGTTGTTGACGGCGTTCCCGACCAGTTATCCACCACCTTTATCATATTCGTCTCTTCGGATCGTCAATAACATCAACGAGTACTCTCACATACAACGATGTAACTACACTTCACTTTTAATACACGACGCACAACCCATTCCCAAGTCGTCCACCACCCCAAATGGGTGTGTGTGTGTAGATTCTTCAGAACTTAATCAGTTCTATGGACTAATTTACTCAAGGGCGATCTCCACGGCTTGCGTATGGACGTAATGCGTGCCCGATCGCGAAGTTATTCGTGAGTGTGCGTTATGTAACAGAGGCACTCCGTTACATGATAATTTATGCAAGATAATTATTAAGTATGATTATTATGTTAGGGCAAACACAATAACTAACAAAATTATCCTGACACATATTATTGCTTCGCAGATGTAACACACTGCTCATTGGTAGATACATGATCGAGATTTTAAATAATAAAGACTAGCCACGACAGAAGCTCGCAATGAGTAGTGTGCAGATAGTAACAGTGCACGTATGTATTTGTACATAATTCAATAAAACTAAATAGGGATATGCTGAAAGGATCAACTATACTAAATACAGCTCTACGCTTTCCTTTACTGAGTACTCTTACTCCGTACATCAATCCCCCTGTGCACGCATGTGGAAGTGAGGTAGTCGGAAGCACATCCCCTTGCTCTATCGGTAGTGAAAATTTATTTAGTTAGCTGAATAAGGTTGCGTTGCACCCCTTCATTTAAATGGCACGTCTGCATACGAACACTCGTACGTGCACAGAAAGCTAATTTACTCAAAAGGCTAAATTAAGTAAAGGGTAAAAAGAGAACCGTATTTAATAAATTTAAGCTATTAACATAACTCCTGTCCTGATCTAAGTATGTTAACCTATATTGTCGTATGACGACAACCTGCTCGCCATTCATTGCGCGCGTCCAGCAGCGATCGGTGGTAATCTTGGTTGATATGTGTTTATCAACCAAGCTTCGAGCAGTACGTGAATATTATCAAAAGAGGATTACATTCCTTCAATATTACCTATCGCAGGTCGTATTGGCAGGAGATTTCCACGCGAGAAGATCTCCCTCTTGACACCGTTTGGTGTCAACATCATGTAACGGGCGACCATGTTACATCCCCCCCTTAACCATCAATCACCCCGTAGATTGAATTAAATTGATCGGGGGCATGGTGATAACCTTTGGGTCACTCCGGGAAAAAGGAGGTACTTGTTGGTCAAATTTCAACTCATTTGCCGATTCATTGCATGGTGTCAAAGTCCATGTGGTGTGCTGCCGAAGCAGCCAGAAAGGCGGCTGCAAGCATGCGTGTAGCCAAAGAAAACTTCTCAAGCCTCAGCAGCAGGTTATCATTCGCCTCCTGTTGCAAGTGAGCAACAGGCAGTGCCTGTTGTGAAAAGTCCGCGTGGTGAGCCACCATGTGCGACAGATACATCCGCTGCGTCTAACGCGGGTGCAGCGAATAGAAATATTGATGAGCCTGAAATATATATCATCTATTCTGGCGAGTCGAATGTGTGGTTCTACTCAGGGCGGCGCCTCCTGACTCCGGGTCACCCGGGGCGGACACTGATCTTGTCCAGCTTGACTGGCTCTTGTCAACGTGGTGGTATCATGACCGAGATCTTCGGATCGAGTGATTACTCCGACGAATCTCCGCCTCACGCAAGTCCATCCACCGATAGGACGCGTGGGGATGGTGGGGATGCACCTATACATCACCACGAGCGAAGTAACTCGAGGGATCGGGGATTCACCGGTATCAGCGCTCACACTAATACAAATCAAGAGGTCAGGGACCGAAATGTCCCGCGCCACGCTCCTCAAGTGGAGTCTCCGTGAATAACATAATTCAGAGAGTAAAACCGGTTGGCCAGCATAAATACAGAACGGGATCGAACCCCGCTATTCGATTGCAGGAAGATTTGCCCACCTGATTCCAGGACGGAGAATATCCGTGCCGAGGAAGACTTCTTCACCAATGTGATCTACAAACATCCGTGCTACAATGGCAGCCGTGTTCGAGACGGCAAATTCGTGGTGCAAGGATGGAACGCCCTCATCCATAACATCGAGTGCATTGGATGTGAGGCCTGGCTCGCCGAACTTGATGCAGCTCGCATCAGGTTTAAAAAGCTCAACGCAATTGGGGCGCGACATAAGTTGCACCAGCTTCCAAGAGAGGCAGGATTATCCTGTCTCTCTTGAAGCGATCCATATCCAGGATGCCTTAACAGTGCTAGCCGTGCCCCTAGTGAGGCCTGACTCCCTAATGTTACCTACTGGAAAGTGCGCATCTCTTCTTAGGTGGCCGAAAGATTTGATACTTTGCAATCCCTGTAATCGCGTTCGGAGAGGTCGTTTTCCGACGGCCCCTCTTTAACGCAGCGGATGGGTCTCGTCATATTGCTCGACGAGACCCAGAACACCAACAATCAGCTGGGCGCGAGGCTCTCAGCTATCCCACGCTGGTGGATAGTCACGCCAGCGGACGAGGTAACTCGTCCGGACTCCATTCACATCGCGGTGGTTCAAATAAGCTCCATTAGAAAGCGTTGAACACCGCCAGAATCCGCCGAAGAATGTGGTGGCGGCGGGAACACCTGATCCGGCTCGAGGGTCGGATCAGCTTGATGTTCAAAAAATGAACCGTGTAACAGAACAGTTACGTGATGAACTGGATCATGAACGGACTCGGCGTTATGAGCTCCATGACTTTGTAAAGGATAATTTCAATTTCTTTGCGCACGATCGTTCGAACGATCGTGCCATGTTTGCGCTCGCGCAGCTTGAGAACGAACGTTGGATCGTTCTCTTCGTGACGAGCTGGCTGCAGCTCATCAGGACATCGCTCAACTGCATGAACAGGTCATTTCGCTAGTCGACCAGACTGGCTCGTTGAAACGGGACCACTCGAAGGTGGTCTCGGCTCTCGACCGCGGAGGTGTTCTTCGCCTCTCGAAACGGGCTCGTACTGATAGTACAGGCGGAGACGCCCAACGCAATACGCAGGATGCGTACGCATCATAAGAGGCAGTTCAATCGTGTATGCGTCACCCATACGGCGCAACATACGAAATGGACCGATATACTTGGGCAGTAATTTACTGCTGCCTACGTTTGTCACTGCGTGTTTTGGTAGATTTACTGTAGACAGTAAAAACCAAGTCTTCTTCATTATATTAAATAACATTCGCTCTTCCATGTTTGTCTGCGTTTCTTTTCTGTCTGTCTAGTGCATCTGCAATAGAGTCTTGAACGAAGCGGACAACCGCTTCGCGAGTCAGCAGAAATTTCTCTGTTGTTTCACCCTTGTCAACAGCAGTGCGCTTCGTGTGCACTGATGAAAGAACGTTGTCTTCACCAGTGAGGGGTCATCGTCCTCACTGTAGCGTCTTTGGCAATGCTGAATGTATTATCATCGTCGTCATCATCATTATCGATATCGATGTGATCGACGTCTTCATCCATAATGTCGACATCATTGTCGACGTGTGATGAGGAAGAACCAGATCGATTTTTGTTCGATAGATTCCCCCCTTAAACTATAGTCACACTCTGAGAAGGCGAGTAAACGTGGATGGCGTAGGTCATTCACAAAGAACGGTGTATGCGTTGTCGACGCTCGCATCGCCTGTTGATGGCAAATTCCTCCATTGGCAAGAAATCAATCCAACTCGTAAACGAGTAGACGTACCCTCGAAGTATCTCTTCAAGGACGCGGTTAACGCGTTCCGTCTGACCATCTGTTTCTAAATGGTCAGAAGTTGACATCTTCGAACGTGTTCCTGATTAAAGGAACACGGATTGCCAGAACTCCGCCGTAAAGCGGGGGTCCCTATCGGAAACGAGTTCACGGGGTAACTCGTGAAGTCGGAAGAAAGTATCAATGAAGACACGAGGACAGTTCTGGGCTGTAAGTGACTTTGGTACAGCAACAAGATGTACCATCTTGCGAAACCGACTAACAACACAAGAATACCAGCATTCTTGTGAGCGTATATAGGAAACCCGACGACGAAGTCCATCGATACGGACTGCTAGCACTCTTACTGAATTGGTAGAAGCTGCAAGGGTGCACGGGATGAAGGACTAGGCTTCACCCGCTAGCAAACTTTGCAAGCGCGAATGTATTTGCGCACAAACTAATACTGACGTGGCCAGTAGCCGTCATGACTTACCATGAGGTGAGTCTTTTCTCTACCGCGATGCCCAATTGTCGGGGCATCGTGACACTCATACATGATGCGCAACCGCAAATCATTATGAGCGGGAACGACGACACGAGGTGAGTCGCCGTTGACTGTTGTATAGTACAGCAGTCCATCACGGTCCAAACCCCGCTCGCGTGACAAAGCGGCAACAAGGAAATGTACCGTTTAGTGGGAGTGGGGGATTTAGCGGATGGCACAACTCAGCTAGGTTTTAAGAGTTATGTTTGGTGGACACAAGCTGGGACGTATGGCTAGCAGTAGCGTACCTAACCCCATTAAGCAGGATTGAAACCACCTGGGACAAAGCTAGATGACAGTTGGACTAGTTGGGTTGCGCAATCAGTCGTGAGACAGAGCAAGGGAAGATTCTTGATTTCTCACCTAGGGACCACGATCCTGGCTTGGGATCACGATCCGATTCTAGGATCACCATCCGAGGTCAGATGGTGGTAATATCTCGGCTGGACCACAAGAAGGTTTGACTGCTGATACACCTCGTGTGGGCCACACCAATGCGAGAGGTCGATCTTCCTGAAACGGTGATGCGTGGCATCCGGTTAGGATGTACGGATAAGGCACAGAGGTAAATTTTAGAGTGAGGGGTTCGCTTTAAAGAGAATCTAATTTCCTTCAAAAAAGCACACAATCTCTTCCAGTTAGGATATTTGGCCTCCTGACGAATAAAAAGTCGCGTTACCCGTCCATATAAGTATCGCACCTGGATTGTTTGGCCAGGTCCATTTAAGAATTCCCAGGTAACTACAACTGCGATCGGACGCAGCAAGACACGTAGAGGCAATGCAGAAGATCGCGAGACGGCTCAAGCGGTCAGAAGGCTCGCGTATATAGAACCCACACAGTGGGCAAGGCGATATCGTTGAGATCAGGGTATTTTATATCAGCACCCCACCGATTCCCCAGTGATCGCGCGAATATTCCCGCCCGATCACTCAAACCCGTCCCCAAAACGGTCAAGTTTTCCGTTGGCACAAGTCCACCAGGAAGAGTGCGACCCGCCCTACTGACGGGTGCACAAGGTAAGGAAAGCGAACCACACGGAATCGGAGTACCCCCTCATTTATTTGGTCGTCTGGGCGCCAGTGGAGAGTCGGGATCGTCTCTATATTTGAGCGATTAGCACTTCACCACATTTAATAAAGATGCATTATAACGTCAAGCTTTTAAAGCTCGTCGGCATGGATTAGATACGTAATCCATCAATCGCAGAAGAAAATCATCTTCTGCGTATGCTTCTCGCACGTCTTCGAGCAGACTTGACGACGGAACACTCAATGATAGTGTTGCTACAGTGGGATCACCCCTACTGTTGGTTTAGGCAGTCGGATCGAAATCGCGCCAACTCGAAAGAGCGTCAGCGACGACATTAAGTCGTCCTGGTTTATACTATAAGGAGAAGTTGTACTCCACGAAGAAAGACAGACACCTCGCCATTCGTTGCGAGAGGTGTGGACTGTTTACGACCGTGCATAACGACGCATGGTCGATATAAACGATGAAAGGCCTATAGCATAAGCGATAAATCCGAAACTTAGCCAGTGCACATTTCATGGCAAGGGGTTTCTGGTCATATGCTGGATAGTTACGCTAAGCTGCTTGCAGATGAAGCGATGGGTAGCAGCAGACGCGCTCAACGCCGTTTGAGTCGTACTGCATTAACGCGCAGCCGATTGCAAACTCGCTGGCGTCACGTTCCACGTGGAACGGTTTGATTTGGTTTGCAATCGCCATACAGGCAACTGTATCAAGATTTCATAGTACCTTTAAAAGAGTGCTGACACGTAGCGCACCACCTCTCGTTTTTCTCTAGCAGACGAGAGAGATGTACGGTCATTTTGACATTGTTGCGCGAGTACTTGCGCAAGTACGCCGCCAAGCCAAGGAGCTTTCGAAGTCCCTTGACGTCGACTGGCACATCTCATTCGCTATTTGCCGTGATCTTTTCTGGATCAGGGCGTACGCTGTTTTTACCCACGATACAGCCAAGAGGTGGTTTTTGCTCGCTGCGAATATACACTTCTTGAGGTTTGCAAACAACTTAAGCTCTCGCATTAGTGTAAGAAACCTTCCGGACGTGGATTCTATGAACCTTCACTTCCGTCTATCCATCCATTTACCAGCTATGGACGAAGACATCGCCGAATTAACTCGCAAGTCTCGCACCGATCGCAACAGATTCGTAACACAT